GTGTTGGCCCGGGTGGGCAATGTTACGTATCGCTTAGATCTACCAGAAGAGCTCAGCCAGATCCATAGCACTTTCCATGTCTCTCAGATGCAGAAATGGTTGGTCGTGATTCCATTGAAGGACATTCGGGTGGATGATCGCATGAATTATATAGAGAGACCAATGGCGATCATCAACGAGAAGACGAAGACTCTTCGAAACAAGGTTGTGGAATTGGTAAAGGTGCAGTGGCATCACCGAAAGAGGTCAGAATTGACGTGGGAGCCTGAGGAGGAGATGAGAGAGCACTACCCAGAGTTGTTTGTAGAGTCGGACTTCGAAGACGAAGTCTGATTCAAGTGGGGGAGAGTTATAACGCTCGATATGTCAGGTAAAATCTTTAGCTAATTATTTTTCTCTTATTGGCATAAGGAACTCGTAGGTTGGGTGTATATAAGGTACGACGGGCATACTTCGAAGCATGCATGACACAGGGTTAGTCCCCTGGTACGCTGGGCGTACCAATTGTGCATTGGGCGTACGTCGGCGAGGGGCAAACCGTAATTTTTAGGGTTTACACCTTATTTAAGAACCTTATATCCCCAAGGCTCACTCATTAGCAACATCCATTGCCTCTTTTGAGCTTTATCTTGAAACCCTAACCTATTTCTCAAGAGATTGACCCTTTCTGTGTTTTGGTGTGTGTGTGTGTGTGGTGCATATAGAAGAAGAAGAAGAAGCCTTGTAGAGGAGCATTGATCAATTAGGAGCTTGTAGATCCAGAGTCCATCCATCATTTCCAGCTTCCAGGAGGTATAAAGTCTTAACCTTGTTGATTCCTTGCTTAGATTTAGGTTAGTTAGGGTTTTGAGCATATTTTGGTCCCATGAGTTGGTCTTTGTGAGTAAAAGCTTCTCCAGAAGATTTGGGTTGTACTTATTGGTGTTTGTGGGGTCCCTTGTTAATAAAAATAATGTCTTGATGGTTTTGATCCAACCATGCATGACTTAATGGTTATCTTATGGAGTATAGAAGCTAGAAATGAAGTTTATGCCTTTTTAAGTCATGCAATAGCATAAAGTTGGCAACTTTATGGATTAAGACCTTATTTTGAAGTTAGATCTGTGTTTTGGACGTTGGACTTAAAGCATTAAGTGCTTAATGGACGATTTTATCTGACTAGGGCGTACGAAAGCGTACGCTGAGCATACGCGTCCGGGTTCTCGATTTTGGTGTCGCGTCCTAGTACGTCGGGTGTACTAGTGGTACGCTTAGCGTACTCGATCAGGAGCTAAGTGGCCTCTTGATCTTGGGCTGCTTTTGGACTCTAGAGTTTTGGGTTCTTGTTGAGCCACAAGTCTTTCTAAGTTGGGCTATTGTTAGGCCTTGGACCTTTATGGATTTGGACCGATATTGGGCCATGAGTGTCTTTTGGACTTTGGGCTAGTTTGGTTTTGGATCGTGATATGTTAGGCCCAATAAGGGAAGGGTAAAACAGTCTTTTACCCTTAAGAGTCGAGATTAAGGATTTGGACTCTCGGTTTTGGTTAATGACCTAATTGCTAATTAGGGTTCTATTATTTGTGATAGTGTGGCGATTTTACGATTCAACAGCCCGAGTGTGATTTGTTTATCTTCAAACTGAGGTGAGTTCCTTCACTGTACTCATGATTCGATGGCATCAATGTCGACCCACTGGATTATGTTTGTAGGATGATAGTTGTCTTCGTGACAATTTCATGTTATGCTTGTATATCCTTGTTGTCTCTGTGATTGTTGCTGATATGATTGTATGCTAGCTGTAGGGGTGAAATAGTCCCAATATCGGTTGAAAGAGACCGAAAGGGGTGAAATATACACAGTACCGGTTGAAAGAGACCGAAGGGGATGCAATAGACCCAGTACCAGTTGAAAGAGGCTGAAGGGGGTAAAACATACCCAGTACCGGTTGAAAGAGACCGAATAGGGGTGAAATAGACCCAATTATGTTTTGAATGGTATGTATGTATGGTATGGGGTAGTTTGAGGAAACTCACTAAGCTTTGTGCTTACAGTTTATGTTATGGTTTCATGTACTTCCAGCTCGAAAGGGAAGGGCCCGACATGATCGCACCGCATCCGCCCATGATTTCCGCATTATGTGATTTTGGGATTTTCTACTCTGATGTTGTTTTCACTATGATATACTTTTTGTTGATTTGATATGATTATTGAATGTTTGGGAATGAATTAGAAACAAAATTTTTCTCTGAAAATTTTGAGATGTTACACTATCGACAACATTCTTTAGCAAAACGTTAAAATGAGAAATTAGCTCCGCATTATTTTGGTCCTTTTGAAGTGGAGGATCGGGTTGGTAAAGTAGCATACTGTTTGAGGTTACCACCAACTTCACAGATACACAATGTATTTCATGTCTCACAACTATGGAAGTCTATTGGGATCCGAGTCATGACACCTCAATTACCTATAACTTTGACTGAAGAAATGGAGGTGTTACTGCAGCCTGAACATATTAAGGGTGTACGTAAAGGGACTATGGGACTGGAGGTTTTGGTTCGTTGGTTGAATCTACCAGAGTATTAAGCTACATGGGAATTATTTGATGTTGTTAATCGTTGATTTCAAGATTTTCACATTGAGGACACGGTGTGTGTTTGAGAGGGGAGTAACGATACACATGGACCACCACCTGGAAGATTTGGGCAAGTTTGTCAGAAGGCATGGAGTAAGCTGCAAGTTTAAGCTAGGTTTAATTAGGAAATTTTATTTTAATTAGGAAAGTTTATTTTTAGCAATTGATTAAAATAATGATGTTATAAGTGTTTTAGTTAGATCAGGACTATTTTTCCTATTTCCGAGCTTTCCTACTATTATGTATCAATTCACTATAACTATAGTGCACCATAGGTCTTTTATTTTTATGCATTAATAAAACGAGTCTTTAACTATTTGGGAGATCACATGTTCTCGAACACACGCAAATCGGTTCTAACCCTATGTCCGGATCTTATATCTATTAGGATCCAAAACCTTTTACTTTTTATGTAATGTTCTCTTCTTTCTAGCTCCTTGCTAGTTTGTTTTGAACAAAAAAAAAAGGAGTCATCTGTTGGGTTTTAACCAAAGCCTTTTTTTACTAGACCGGGTCTTGAACAATGCTCTTAGGACTTATTCGGGCCTTGTTGAATCGGACTTTTTCACACCCCTTTTGGACTAGACCGGGTCTTGTACATGCCTTTTGGAACTTGTTTGGACCGGGCCATAGATCGGGGCTTTCTTTAACTTTTTTTTTTCTTAATTAGATGAATTATCATTAACATGTTTTGTTACTATTTCTGCATGAAAATAAATAAATAAAATTAACTTTTAGTCGGCATATTGGATAAAGATTTAGTTCATAATTTTAACACCATAATTATTACTTAGTCAATTAAACAAGTGATCGTCAAGTTGAAGTATATAACAACACTAACATATATTGATTGAGATATGATAAATTCGAGAAAAAAAAATACTTCAATGCAATTTCATTTTCTATTCTTGGCACTTCCTTTCCAATCAAAACTTCGAGCTTAGCTCGTTAAGCTCGTGTTTGCTATGGAAGAAAGAATAAATAAAAAAAAAATCAACAGTGCGGAAAATATAATGGTAATCGTGATATAGAAGTTTGTGCTGCTGCCCCTATTGTATTGATCGATTGTGCCTCTTAGGCTACAAAATTACACAAAAGATATAGCTCTTATCATGTATAACATATAAAATGAACTTAACTGTCGCTATGATCCGAATTCCAATGCAGAAAAAAATACTTATCAAGAAAGCATGTGAGAGAATGACTAGCTATCAAAAAACAAATTAGTCGGACTTAAGCCGATAAACAGAAATCCCAAAAATTGAAAACCTCAATCGAAACCATCAAAAATTCTAGAAACAAATATCATTGGAAGATTTAAGCAATAAATAACTTCCATTAATTAAACAACAAATCTTTGAATCGGTTCTTGGAACATCATAACGGATTGACAAGTTCGAGCTAATTACCAAGAGTTATTTGGATCAAATTTGGGCCTAAATAAAACCTATACCCATTAGAGATGAAACAAAATTAACATGTCCTCTTATCAAAAATTATCATCTATATAAATCATATAGGAAAGAGTACCAAAATCTGATGTTTAATAATATTACGTCATGCCGGCTATAGGAGATGTTGATGACGGATTGTAAAACATGTTCAAATAAAAGGTCATGGAGCCTTTGCTAAGATGTTAATATGGGTTTTTATTAGGAGGCTAATTGTGAGACTCATATATTATATGGGTTAATTTAAAAAAAAAAAAAACTACATATAAATGTCAAAATATTTAAGAACTTTGAATTTATATGAAAATAAGAAAAATAATAAATTATTATAATGAAAATGTTTTTTATCTTTTAAATTTAAACAAATAAGTTTAATAAATAAAAGAAACTAATGGACTTTAATTTTAGGAATTTTAAAATTAAAAGGTAAGTTCATTAATGAAATTGATATCAATTTATTACTATATTTATTACAGTTATTATATTAAAATATTATGTGGAATTTAACAAAATAGAAAAACTCATAAAATGACATGTGGAAAAAAAATTCAAAATAACCACAAAATGACATTTGACAAATTGAATGAGAGTGTGACAAGTGGCAAAAAACATTTATTTATTAGAGAGGATTTTCTATAGCTTCTTTCCTTTCTCATTAAATACTGAAAGTGGTTGGTTAATAGCACCGATAATCGAACTCCTTAAGATCTTAATAATGGGTGCTAATTAGCTATGAAATTTTTTAAATGTTTTAAGTTCATATACATTATAAAAACCGAGATGGGTTTGTTAATTGTGTTAACACAGATCAAAAAGATACATCTGGTAATCAAGAACATGAAGACACATAACATGAATTCTATACAAATTCGTCGAATTTCAACTCTTCTTGATTCAGCCACGAAAAATCCTAATTCTTCTCTCCTTAGAACTAAATGGATTCCTATTACAATACCCATAGAACAGTCCAAGAACCCAAAGGTCAAGATCTTGATTACATCAACATAGCTTACAGTCATCTTCTTCGCTCTGATTGGGCAAAGCTAGCTAAACTATTAACCAAATCAAATTCATTTAGATTGAAGCACATTCTCTTAATGCTCCAAAACAATTACGCCGTTTCCCTCAAATTCTTCAAATGGATTGAACTTCACAACCCTAATTTACTCACCCTCGAAACAAATTCCATCATCTTCCACATCCTCACCAAGAATCGTAAATTTGTGTCAGCTGAATCCATTTTAAAGAAGATCATCTGTTCTTGTGATGTAAATCTCCATTATAAGCTCTTTGATTCTCTTCTTCACTCTTATCGAATTTGTGATTCCACTCCTCGTGTTTTCGATGCACTTTTTAAAATGTATGCACATGTAAAACAATTCAGGAATGCAATAGATACGTTTTGTAAAATGAAGGAATATAGATTTCTTCCCACCATTGAATCATCTAACATGTATATGAGTTCGTTGCTTAGTTTCAATTGACCAGACATCACGTTACCATTTTACAACCAAATGAGAAGATCCAAGATCACAATCAACATGATAACTCTCAATATGGTGATGCATGCTTATGTTCAATAAGGGAAGCTAGAGAATGCAGTATAAGTGTTCAATGAAATTCACACCATGGGGCTAAACCCTTTTGTCTCCTCCTATAATACATTGATAACTGCATACATCAACCAAGGGCTTCTAACAACCGGAATCAACTTGAAACTTACAATGGAGAAGAATGAAATCAACCCAAATTTTATCACTTACAACACAATAATCCATGGATTCTGTAAAGATGAGAAACTATGCTTTTAAGATTTTCCACGAAATGAAAAGGGTAAATGTGGATCCTAATACTGTAACTTACAACACATTAATAACTGCATGTTCTCAATCAGGTAAAATCCAAAAGGGTAATCAGATTTTTGAATAGATGATAAGAAATGGGGTCAAACCTTATATTTTGACTTATAACACATTGTTGTTAGGACTTTGTAACGAAGGAAAAACCAAAAAAGCTGCTTATTTGGTTAAAGAACTTGATAAAAAGAAATTAGTACCAAATTCTTCGACTTTTTCTGCCTTAATTAAAGCCCAATGTGTTCGAAAGAACCCAGATCGTGGTTTTCAACTTTATAAAAGCATGGTGAAGAGTAATTGCCGTCCAAATGAAGATACCGTGAAGATGTTGATTTTATCATACTTGCAAACCGATGATTATGATGGTGTGTTTAGTGTTTTTAGAGAGATGTTAGAGAGACAAATTGGGCCTGATACGATTGTTTTAAGTGGATTGTGTAAAGGGTTTTCAAAAGTTTGGAAAGATAGATTGGTTATGGATCTGTTAAGAGAGATTGATGATGATGTTTTTAGTCATGAACGTTATGAGAAGGTTAAAAACGTTATTTGTGACTCTAACAATGAATGAGTATAAAGAACTTGAAGAAAATGTATAAGCTGATTTATTTAAATCTCTAGAAAAGTCTCATTATTTTCTAAAAATTAACGATTAAGTCTTAATTTTTTTAATAGAAAAGCCCAAAGAAATGGACAAATTTCTTCCGTTTAGCCCCTTTTGACATGTTCAGCAGGTTATGGGATCAAATCGTTATTTTTTCCAAAATAATGGTATATAATGTATAAATGTATTTTTATGTGTTTTTTAAGTATTTTTACGAAATTATATATATATATATATATATATATATATATATATATATATATATTACATATTTATGTATTTTTAATTTTTTTTTATGTATTTTAAATGTATAAACGTTGTTTTTACATATTTATATGAATGTCTAAGTATTTTTATATATTTTTATGTATTTTGGTATATTTTTAACGCATTTACGTATTTTATATAGTTTTTTTACATTTATATATATATATATATATATATATATATATATATAATCATATTTTTTTATGTATTTATATGTATTTTTAAGTAACTTAAAGATGAAATGTTTCGAATTTCACATCAAGTCCCCAAGTCTGTCTTGACTAGGACAGAGAGGCAAAATTGTTCAAAATATTGCTACACATTTCTGATCTTAGTCAACACACCATTGGGAGTCATGGTGTGAAGGGCAAGATTGGAAATGGTGAAGAGAAGAAGATATAGCTGTAATGGAGAAGGTAAGGTTTTTTTTTTTAATTTTTTTGTTATAGTAGTAGTTTAATTTTATATGGAGGATAATGATAATTACTCACATTTAGTTCATGATGAGATGAGCTGAGCATTTGTGAGGTCTTTTTGTGCAAAAGGTTTTACATTTATGGTATTGAGCATAATAGAATATAATATGTTGAAAAGATTTGTATGGATGATGATTTATTCCTAAATTAGGACTAACTTAATTATGTTCCAAAACTATTTACTTTATATTTGGCAAATGGGCTTACTTTTATTATAAATAAGATGTTGTACCTCAATTAGATTGTTAAAAACACCAATCTTGAACTTTTGTTAAATTATATGATCAATCTTTGTCTCCACTATGATATTAAACACCATTAAAGTAGCATCAACTTCATACTATGATATTAAACACCATTAAAGTAGCATCAACTTCATGTAACACATGAATCAAAAAAGATGTTATGATGAATTGATATAAATTATAACGTGCTTTCTGCTTTATGTATTATGAAATTCATTTATCGGAGTTCTTGTTTCACTTATGTTCATCCAATTTTTGGAAACCAAATGTAAAGCGTTTTGCTATGTTTCTCCAAGTTTCATGACTATCCCTATGTGAATTATTCAATATTTACAATCATGTAACATTTATACGATCCTCCTATACATAATATATGAAAAATATCCCAAAATACATAAAAGTACATAAAAATAGTTAAAAATTCATTTAAATACGTAAAAAAACATTTATATATTTAAAAAAACATAAAAAATGTAAGAAAAGTTGTATAAAAAAACTTAAAAATACATAATACGTAAAAAAATATATAAAAATATGTAAAAATACTTGAAAATACATGTAAATGCATAAAAATACGTTTATACATTATATAAAATTTTTATGGAAAACTGTAGAAAAGCCTTATTATTTAGGAAAAAATAATGATTTGATTTCATTACTTGTTGAACATGTCAAAAGGGGCTAAAGTGAAAAAAATTCAAGTTTCATGAGATTTTTTTTATATATATTTTTTTGGGACTTAATCGTTAAGTTTTCCAAAATAATATGATTTTTTTAGAGATTTCCCTTTATTTAATCATGACAAAAATGAATTCGAATACAAAATGTGTGACGTAGGAATAATGATTTATACTTTGTAATGTATTTTGAATAAAGCTTCAAAAGTTTTTGATGTATGCTGAATTAAATTTTGAGCTTTGTGCTATCTATATCTATGCTATCATATAATATATATTGCTTCTTTCTTGAATTTTAAGAGGTATAACTTCCACTTCTTAGTGTACAAATCAATTGTATTGGTCTCATAAATTATGGACATGATCCTTAAAGTAATCACTCGAGTCTATATAGCTTGCTAAAGCTTAATTCAATAAATTGTTCTGGAGTATCAGAAATAAAGATTGTGTAAGTACGTATTGACTTTTTTTATAATCTTATTTTGAAAAGCTTATGTTTATACTCTACCATATACACAAAGTACAATGCTATTTATGGTTACTTCTGCTTTAGATACTAAGGAGGAATGGATCGTGAAGGTCGTGCAATCATGGTTGTAGTTGTCTTGGTCTTGTTAGATTTGTACTCAATTATAGTAAATGTAATAATTTGTAAATTTTAATTTTATTTCACAATAGATGAGTATTTTTTAATCGAAATTAGTAGTTATTACTTGTTAAAATTTTGATGTATAAGAATGTGTTGTTTTATTTAGATGACACCCTCTTTTGAACATAGATTTGTGTTATTTTATTTATATGTGTTATTGTGAGGAGGTTTAAAAATCAAATTAGTTTATTAGATGAGACTTGAGATCCTGATAGTTAAAGAATTAGTAAGTTAACTAAGGATTTGAATTTTTTAATCTTTTATGCATTTGGTTAATAACAAATTAAATGTAATTTAATTTATTTCTATATTTCTGATTATATAAAATTATTTATTTTTCTTATCTTTTTGGGTAGAGGGACTTTCGATTTATCCTTTCATTTTATTGAATTAAAAGAAATGTTGGCTTAGAAATTAAATATCTTTGATATTTTTTGAAACAACAATGAAATCTTTGTAGGGATGTGAAACAGTCCCGCTGGGACCCCGATCCCATGGGGGCCCCGTCCTGTATGGGAGGTATGGTTAACCTTCATTTTAATTTCGGGGATGGGGGCGGGAGTTGGCAGACCCGTCCCCAAACCCTCATGGGGGCCCCGTTAATAATTTATATATATATATATATATATATATATATATATATATATATATATATATTAATTATATAAATATAATAAACAATATAATGATTTTTACGTACCAAAATTTAACAAAAAAAATATGTTTTTAAGTTGTTTGTAACATGTAAAATTATGATATAAATAACTATTTGTTATCCAAAAAATAATTTCTTTTAGCCTAAACAAAAATTTCTTTTAGCCCAAATAAGGTAGCCCAAAATCAATCGGAGGAGGGGTAACGGGGGGTAAGAAGGGGAAATTGGGGGAGGGGGCGAGGGTGGAAAGGATGAAGATTTCGGGGGTGCGGGCGGGAGCGGGGCGGGGTGTTGGGTTTTTATTCAAAAACTAGTTTAAAAAACATAAGATTTAAGCAATGGAAGACTTGATAATTTGAATAACATAAAACAAGTTTATAACTCACCAAGGATCTTCTGGCAAAGTTTGGAAAGAAAACAAGCACCAAAGAAGAAGATGGAGAAAATTAAAACATTTCCTCTTGGGAGGATTGAAAGTTGATGAAGAATGTAGTTAGAGACACCAATAATAAATCATCTTGATGTAGAATGCTAGTTCTTTTGTATAAAACTCTTAAGACTCTTAAGCTTTATGTTCTTATCAAAATAAGAACATAAAGAGAGAATAAGCAAGAGTGTGATCTTCAAGTCTTTAACTAAAACTAGAGAGAAAAACACATACATACATAGTTACATTTTTTACATGGGTGGTGAAAGAGATATGAAAGCATCACTTTATATACGAAATCTTTGGTCCATAAGTTCTTAACAGTTTAAGATCCCATGCCCCTAAAGCCTCTGTGTTCCCCATGCTTCAAGCGATGCCTTTCTTTTGAATAAATTAATCAAAAGACCATCACTCTTTATTTTAATCATATTGTCCATGCTTTTAGAGGAGAGTTTTTTCCATTAATAAAATGAAAAGCCCATACTCTCTTTTGTCTAGCCATATTTCTAAAATATGAAGGCAAAAGAAGATAGAGGCTTTTATATTTTATAAACCAAATGTATAAAATATTAAATTTAACTTTTTGGTAAAAGATAAAAGAATTTATCTAGTCCAAAATGTTGTGCACGACTTATTCATTCATACCATATGAAGTATATATAATGTTACTTGCTAATGAATATTATTATTTCCTAGAAATAAATAATTTCCAATTTAATTATAAGATTTTATTGAATATTTATTATAATCAATTTCTAATAAATAATCAATTATATCAAGTTGTTGTTAGTGTGACCTTTTAGTATCATATGTTAATTAGCAATATCACTTTAATATGATTCTTGAGCATACTAGATCTTTCAATCTCCCACTTGCGCAAGATTCATATTAGACTGATATAGACAATGGTGAACGTCTAGCAGCATTTCACTACCGCCATTAACATACGACTTTGTGCCATTTTGTCAATGCCCAATTCCCCAAAAGCTCAAAGCTACAATTGGTGTATATAAGTTAAGTTTATCAGTTATCCCTTTGTCACAGACATCATGTTAAACATGAGATATAGATCGCAATCAATCTCATATGGTGTTCAACTTTTGGTAAGGCGCCTTAGATGTCCAACTCTCAACACATGAGAGGAACAAATCCCATCTTGACTACATAAGCCTCTTTCATAGTTCAGACCATACCTGGAAATGCCTTTCATAACTGCCCGATTAAGGACCAACATTTGACCATATCTAAGCACACCACTCCCTACACTTAAGTCCCACTATGTATCTCAGGTGTTAAGGATACAAAGATAGTACATTTTTAATTAAGTATCATTCACGATAGCGATCCGTGAGATGATCTTGATGCGGGTCAGTTCAATACCAGTTCTCTAACAAGTACCTAGGAAACTTGGTTACAACCCATTGTTTACCTTCATCCGATGAAAGTCAACCAATCCAATTCATATTAGTCTTAGTTCATAATTGCTCCCACAATTATAACCGACTACGAACCTTTATAATAATAAGATTATTCATGGATTAAGCATGTTAATATAGAACACAACAAGTATT